TTCAGTGACTTCGTCAAAGCCATATGATGTTATTAGTTTCGTGGTAACGTTATTTCTTCGTGTCCATTTTCATCTGAAGAAAGTGGGTCATAATGGTGCATGATCTGTTTTAATGCCAATTTGCTCAAAGAGTCCTTTGAAGTCACGCCGCTGGCAATCCCGAACGCGAGATCGGTGAACAGCGAAGCATTCCAGCTCTACACACATGTCAAGTGACTGCCCTCACCCCCTTCCCCTAGGCTGCCTACACTCCCCCTGGCGGGTTTCCCGAAGTACGGGTTGGTCCCGCTATTGCGAAAAGATATCCTATTCAAAACTAGGTGAGTATCATTTTTTTAAGTTCTATATTTGTTTATTGCAATTGTCATTGGGGTGTCATTGGTAAATTAGCCCCGTTCCATTGGGTAAATGAATAGTTCCTGAATAATTCACCTAACCGTAACCTTCTCTCGAGAATTTACATCATATAATTATCATAAATAATAAGGTTGATAAATAATACTCTTGCATTAAAAAATCGATATAAAATAGGCACCCCCCCCCTGAATTCACTCCCGGTCGATTAGCGCCTCGCCACTTTTTTCACTCAACGATATACAGAGAAGTCCTTACTAGAACAACATAGTAGGTTTGGTAACAAGTGGGGGGGGGGGCATTTCGCTACCCACCTTTCTATCTCATCCTTAACTCTGGAGGATCATCATGATGCCCCACCTTACTGGATGAGCGCCGAACTGAATAAACGAATCGAATATTGCACGTAAGAACCTTCAAATTCTGTTACGAATGCCCTCCAAAACAAAAATTTTTATGAAAGCTCATTTTGCTTTGGACCTATCTGGCCCAATAGTTTGCGCACGAATACCACTATTTGACTGCTTCTTCTGATCATTCCCAAATAACAGTCGAGGTGTTCACGTCAAGAATTTTGGGTCATAATAGTCTACCTACGGCTTATCCAAGATTACGCAATTCACTTTGTGAGACACGAGAGTCTCTTCTCTAGTGTGCTTGAAAATTACACCAGTAGAAGGCCTTTCAACGAACGCGAAAATCCCCCTTCCAAAGATCTCATGAGCCCATCAATTTTAGTTCGTGGTCGCAATGTCAATCCGAAGCTAGTGAGTGATCAGGTTTCTAACTAAAGAGCGATAATGACGGGAAATAGTGCCTTTTTTCAATATCAAACTTGGGCTGTCAAGAGTTCCAGTTTGAAAGATTCTTAACCGACATTCTGTTACCCTCCGAACAATCCTACTACAACGTATGGGCCACATGTCGCGTTCAATTGTGATTCCTGACACGGTCCTCGTATTTAGGTGCGATTGCCGGCGATGCCCCACATAACTCGCTTTCACTGACCGCGGTCCAGCGCAAGGTCCAATGCGCACACCGTTTGACAGCCTGCTACGACAGGAGCTGAGCGCAGGAACCCATTATTTTTTTTTTTTTTTTTTTTTTTTTTTGTTTTTTTTTTCGGCGGGCGACAAAATCCTCAGGAAATCACTTCCATCTTTAACATTCACTAGGAGTTGAGCACAAATAGAAACTACAGCTCTTATTCAACACCCATATATTTCAATAGAGCTTCGAACATTGACAACAAACGGGAACTAAAACTGCATAATGAAATTACCAAATAAGTTGTGATGTTGGCTGGAAATAAAGCGTTTCACATGAAGGGCGTTGGTACCGGTGCCGGGTTTATCACAAGGCCGCCATGAGTAAGTGGTAGCGCTCTCTAAACTTGCAGTCTAACGGGAAGAGAATGCACGATCTCCCGGCTGGAGAGAGGGAACACTCCCACCGTCCCACGCGACTTTGAAAGCCCGGAAGCTAGCACGGTTCATATGTAATGCTTTACTTCCAACCAACTTTGACTGCTCACAACTTCCTTGGCAGGTTCATTTTGCAGTTTTAGTTTCCATATTTGTAATCAGCGTTTGAAGCTCTATCGATATATCTGGTCTTCAATTCGAAGTTCCATGGGAAGTTGAATAACCTTCGCGGTAAGTCGTCACAAGTCAAGGCGAGTTACCCCGGTGAAGGTGGGAAAAGCGTGCCCTACCCAGAACACTGATCAGTGGGCGCAGCTCCCAAAAAGTAATTTTTAAGTGTCGCACACTCTTAACACTAAAAGATGAATTCATTAGTGCCGAGCAAGTAGGCCATTCATATTTCAAAAAATTTGCATTCTGGGGAGATTGGTGCAGATAAGAAGGGGCTGCTACCGCACATGTAGTCCCTGGATCGAATTCCATGTCAAATCTAATAAACGGCAGGCGAATTTCTGTAGATGATTTGTTATTGCAAGGAGAGATAACTGCTATGCAAGACACATCGAACTTCTCATCTCAAAAAAAAAGCCGTAAGTCTAAGGGCTAAAATGGGTTACGGCGTGGCCAGACCCCGAATGATTTTGATGCCTAGCGTTCGAATCCTTCTTGACGGACGGCCTATTTTCCCGTCTAAGTGGATCCTTAAAGCACAAATTGCAAATGAGCTGGTGGAATTGCCATATCGCGAAAAGTTTTCCAAACCCGCCCATTAGGGACGTCAGCTAACAGGCTGGTTCCGATGAGGATCCCTAAAGCGACTTGAGCGCGGCTCAAATTAAATCGTCCCTGTTGAGCAACGAAGAGTAAACTAGAAACCAGGCACTGTTGACTCTCTTATAACACAAATACTAATAAACAGCTGAATGCGCTGAGATCTCTCACTAAACATATTGAAGATCTCAATGTTTCCTACGCAAAATAGCATTAAGCCAGTATCATGGAGCTGAACAAATGAAAACAGATGCTCCTGACAGAGAAAGGGAGCTCCCATCTAGGGGAATTCCTAGCGAGCAATTATCTCTCGTAAGATCGGGGAAAGTAGAGTCCTTTCTCTGACGGTAACGTTGACGAAGTGCCGAATAAAAGGAAATCTCCGTGCGGTAATTTTCGGAGCGGAGGAGCGATGAGATGAAAAGGGCGATTGGTTCTTCTTCACTTGACTAATCTCATCGTAGTTAAATGAAAGGTGACGACCGTGAAGGGCAAACACTCATAGAAGATTTACAAACGTGAAGCAATTCTACAGCAATATTTGATGGAAAACTGATGTGGACAGCCCCGTACGCCACGTCCCGCTCAACAGGAGAGGGAGTGCCAGTCCGAGTAATTGCGGAGAGGAGCGCTTTCCACCACGGTCCTCTTTCGCGGAATCCAGTTCAGAGGTAGTGGATTTGGATTTTCCTCGCTCCAGCAATTCGCTGGCGCGCGGCCCATTTTTGAAGGTAGCTGACCATCCACATGGAATAGCACAATGGTGAAAGCATCGTATTCATATTTCCAAATCGGGATCCGTATTTCTAGAGACAAATTTCTAGCCATATAGATTTTGCCCTTTACATTAGCAAATGGGGTAGCTAAGGATGCCCCTCAGATACAATTTCTTCGACGCCGGCTTGCGATTGTGCACAGCTTCTGTGTGGCAGAAGAGTGTCCTTGTGTTGTTTTTCTCTGTTTTGTGCTTCTCCCTGAAGTTTTCGCCAAAATCATCCAGAACCCCCACAATAACGAACCCCTTTTCCCCGACCACAACCCATTCAACTTTCACAGAAACAACCTCGCCATTTGCACTTTTCCCAAACATGTTAACCCTGCTCAACCTGCAATTCGCCCCCTCCTAAAACCGCAAATAGGACCCCTGATTCGAATAATGAGAACAACGGTTCACCTTGATCGGAGGAGATCGCTCGAAGAGTGAACTTTCGACGTTTCACGTCGCAACTCAGACATTTCGTTATTCATTGGCAGCTGTCAAATCTACCCAAATTGGTCCTGTCAAACTCACTTCCCACATCTTCCAAGGAGTGACGAAAAAGGCTCCCTTTCACCACATTCCCCTGTGAAAAATAGCCATGGAAAATTCGACAGCAGAGTTAGACTAACCATGGGCGACACCAAAAGTACTTAACACGTTGACGACAGCGTGACGCGGTAACGCGTCCCACTTTGCGCACCTCGTGGGACATTGTGACGCGGTAACGCGTCCCACCCAAGTCATCCCTTTTTCTTGCGCTTGTGCGACTTATTCCTAAGGTCTTTGTACTCATTCTATAGGCCATACATTAGCATACTTAAAAACCACATGGCTCACAGAAAGGCCAAATATTCTTCAGTTTGGCAGAGGTTTTTCCAGACCTTTACGGATTAGTAGTCGGCCACTCCTCTGTTTTTTTTCACTTAGGAACAAAAACATTTATTAAAAGGAGATATAGAAGCGAATGCAAACTTATTCGTATGGAAAGACTGTGTTTTTACCGAAACAGCCACGTCCAAATTAATTTTGAAATCACTTAAGGGGAAAGCAAAATAAAATTTGCCTTCTCATGGCCCCAACACATCATTTCCATTGATCTTTCCATTCGGCCGATGGTTAGGACTTGCGAATAGCAAAGCGTCTCCGGATCGCGTCGCTCCAGTGACAATGCCAAGCGACCCAATGGCCTAGCGCAACGCGACCGCGGACTCGTGGGCGAATCGCGTCGATTCGCAAAGTCTGACATCGGCATTACTGTGACTCATACCATAGTGTGACTAAGTTATACAGATCAAACTTATTGAAAACACTTCATCGCATCCAAGTTTTGCGTATCTGAAAGCTCAAAATTCAAGGATTTGATGCGCCTGCAAATCACCCTGGTCCCACGCGGTGCAAAAGCCCGAAACACGCGATGTCGTCAACGTTCAAAAAAACAGCGAAGCCTCACAAGAACGACGAGCAGCCGATTCATTGCAAGCAGAACCAAAACTAACAATTCCCACATTTTTCCAACAATATCAACATTTCTCTGAAAATATACATCAAAACAAAACCACTATCATTACTACTACTAACTAGATCTACATGTCGAGCGAAACTGCAACAATGAGTATCCCTCGAATATTATTTACGAAAATTAAACAAGAAAGATCGCTCATTATAAACAAAACAACTTCACAAAGCTATAGCTAGTACTGTTTGACCATGTCTGGCTTGGGATGATAGAACAAGGCCGAATGCATAACCACCTCAGACAGACTGCCTATCAATGAAGGTCGGTACTGGCCGACAGTTTCGGTGGCTTTGCCCTCCAGAACCAACAAACCACGCAGACGTTGTTCCACCTGGAAACAACATTCAATGCAATTTTGGCTCACATTACCAGGACCCTCCAAAATAAGAAATTACACAGTTCTTTCTAATACAGGGAAAATTATGAATAGAAGTATCGTTGAACCAACATTTCCATGAAGTTGTGCCGAAAAGTCTATTCTGCGGGCAGAACAGTAGAGCCCCACAAGTATCATGGATGTGCCGTTGTCGCAGCTCGAGTGTGCGCAACAATGGCCGGGCCTTACAATGTGAGCTAATGGACGAGACACCTCGCGCACACCTCATGAAAAGCAACGTGGACTACGCGTAACGGCTAACTCAACAACGCGCGAGGTAGTGGAGCAACCGAGTAAGTTCAGACAACTCGTCACAGCAAGTGGAGCGAGTAAGTTCAGACAACTCGTCCTGACACGCCCACACCTCACTGCAAATAGGAAGAGAGGGATTCCTTGTTCCAAAGCTTCCCAGCCGTTTTCTTCCCATCTTTTTCTTCATTTTCATTCAACTCGGCATCCACGTTTGATTACCGACCGCTGTTACTCAACTATTTTACTCTTGGGTTGTTGTTTCAAGCGATGAATGTTTCTCAGAGGAGATGATTTCTCAAGGGATCAAAGATCTTATTGAGATCTGCCGGATCGTTTCCGTGATAAACACCCAGGTAGAGCACCCACACAAAAGTCTATGCGCCGATCACTTGACCTTACCTGCCCCGAAAACAAACAAACTTGGTTCGAATGCCTTTTGGAGTTAAAAAATCGGAGTTTGCCCAAAACCCCCATATGCCTCTCTATCCGGTGTGAAAGCCTTGTAGAGAGCTCAGTGATCGACCGACTCGCATAGGAAAAAAACAACTTAAAAACCAGAGAAAAATTTGTTGGAAAGGGCCATAGTTGCAAGGCTACAACCTAAATTTCATACAGAAATCTTACTTCTTGCTGCTCCTTCCGTAACATTTGCCGCCTTTTCTCCATTTCTTCAGATTTCTCTTTCTTCTCCGCCTCATACCGTTGGTGAAGTTCTTCTAAACGTCGCTCTTTCTCTTGTTCTACGCGAGCGCGAAGTTGAGCCTCAGCCCATGCCTGCAACCAATCTTTCAATGAATGAAAAAGGATAATTCTTGGAAACACCTGAAAAAGACTGCATCGATGGAACCATAGAATCAGCCAAATTTTTCTCCGACAACATGCCCTCTGGGCTGAAATGATGGAAGGACAAGAAGTGCTGTTATAAGCTTGCTTTGACTGATCTAACTGGAAACAAAGCTTCCGATGGTGGAGACAATTAAATATCTGACAAGAGAAGGCTTTCAGGTCGCTATGGCCATTCAAGATGAGATTAGTACTCCTATACTCCATACGCTGATCCCAAATCTACCTTCCAAATCTGCTAAATGATTTTCCGAACGGAGTTATGAAGCCGAAAAGCGCGGCAACAGCGGTTCCGATCTGGTAAGGGGTCCCGGGATCGGATCATTCGTGTGTTTGCTTCTTTGCTTACATCGTGAACATTTCTAAACGGTTTTTTACTATTTCATTGAAGATAAAGCATTCGGTGGCAATCAATGTCTGGGATATACGTACGCATTCCAATAATTCACGTGATGTAGCGCGATTAATGCGATGTGGGCGACCATATATTGTGGAGGTCAGGCGATGTACGTGTTTTATATTTCATCGTCGACAGGAGGCTACAACTGCCACACCTGCAGAAGGCAAGGTTGGCGTGGCGGAGCATGATCAAGTAAATTCAGAAAAACGATCCTACGAACAGTTGTTCAAGTGTCACATATCGCTAGAAATAATCCTTTAGTAATTGGGAGCCTAATCAGCATTCAGGGACTGTGGGTTCATTACATCTCTTTCAAGGCCAGGGCGCTTAGGGTTTTCCTCGGAACGAGGACATCGAGATGTTCCAGAAATGACAGCATGCAGAATTCGTGGTAGTGTTAGCATTACCTTTGCTGATTCGGTATGCGGTGAACATGAGACTATTAAGAATGGCCTAAACTTAGAAGACATGATCGTTCGATTTGCGCTCTTCAAACCACAAATTTGGTTTCCCGTAGAATAGAGCTTATTTTTATCGAGAATGTTCGATTTTTGTGATCTACATTTATAGAGTGTTCGGTGAAAGCAGCAATGTTGAGATAATATTATATCTCGAGATAAGCAAAATATGCAACCTACCTTCCTGGTCTTCACATGCTCCGGCTGCTTTTGCACGTGGTACGCTATTTTCAACTCCTTGATCACTTTTTCGAAAGTCTCGATCCTCTCTCTGAAAGGACATCATTGAAAAATTAGTTGAGATTACGGAATTCGAATTCGAATCCGATCTCCTTATACGATTTTGGAATTTCCAACAGGATTCGGTGTTTCAAACGGTGAGGGAGGGAGAGAGGGGGGGGGGTAAGGGTGGCATGAACGATGGGTCGACGTCGCCAATCAAAAGATGGGCGAGAACGGGTCTCACACACAAACCCAAGAGTCGGTGTCTTTCTGAAGAAATGCGTTAATTTGTTTTTTTTTTTGTTTTTTTTTTTTTGTTTTCGGTGGTGTGTGGTGTTTTTTTTTTTTGTTTTGTTTTTTTTTTTTTTTTTGACCGCTTTGCGCACTAACAATTTCGTTAACTATGAAACGGTATGTCGCAAACAAACTGTGTATAGCGACCCATTTATGTTATTACGACTAAGAGCACGATGAACATTGACAGGAAGTCAAATGCGTGGCGCATATCAGGAAGCAATCAAAGCAAAATTTTGTGTACTGCTGTCTATAAGGTCATGAGCACTTGTATTTCGAAGACATTTTTCAGTGCTTGAACGAAGCGCTTGCAGAGGTTCAGGAGTGGTCCAATTTTGAGGTGCCGGGGATAAGCCTAGAATTCTCACCAATTTTTCTAAGCAGCCAGGAAGTGGACTTGAAAGAGATTTTTCCACTTTCCGATCGGTTTTTTTCTTCTTTTGGAAAATGGCACATAGGAACGGTTATGACTGTTCAAAGGGAGAACAAGGAGGGAATATCCAATTATCGTCAACTCCAGCATTTTCTGAACGAGCGTACTATCACACCAGCCTGAATGAATCTGTCTCACATTCACCACTGCATAATTTCCTTTGCTTCGCAAATGTTATCAGACAAGAAGTTATGATCACTCAATGGGAGGTGAGATTTGCAAATTTCCAAGTATTTTGATTTGAGGCAATCACCCGCTCACCACGTCACACGGCCGCAAGCGTCGGCCAAGGGGTAGAAGGGGGAGCGCATGCGCTTATTCATAGAAATTTTTCATAGCTACGCTTCCGCTCGTCGTTCGACCCATTTGTACATGAGCCATATCTTATTGTCATCAGCTATTGCCAAATATTGAGAATCGATAGTAACGAGATTTTTTTGAATACCAAGTTCAATTTTGCCGAAGCAAAAATTCTGTCAAATTGGTGCACAATTTCTCGACGAGCGAAACACGTGTAAAGGCCCATTTCACCATACACCACAATTCTTTGATTAGTGTTAGAATCCCATTATATAAACCAGAACTTTGGTGTGTCGGTTCTGTCGTGTGTGTGCGTGTGTCGTTCTGTCCGTCCGGACCGACCGCTCACAAAACCAGGGAGTACGAAGGGCAACACTTCGTGATGTTGATGTCATGATCATGATAAACCCAGCGGCTATATAGCGACTAGCACTTCGCTCATTTCCATGGTGCTTGCGTGGAAGCGGAATGTGCGAGAGTGGGGGTGTCGCGGATGCGACGGTGGCCCGCTGGGCGCACCGCGCGCCCCGGCCCACTTGCGCTCGGTTGCCAACGCGCTCCAGCGCCATTGGCCCCGCCTCCCTGCGGTCGAGGCCAGTTAGTCGGCGCTACGCGCACCGTCCTAGCGGCGGTGCTCGTAGGAGCTGGCCACCGGTGGCAGGTCGGTGTTCACCGGGCAACGCGATGAGGCCAGCTAAGGCGAAGGGGCACGTCGCTCCGTAGTCCATGTTGGCGGAGCGCCTGTCATCCCAAAGCCGGTCGTGTCCTTCCCCTGCTCCCCGTCTGGGAGCAGCCCTTACAACATCCCAGATAGGACACGTCGGCCGCATGGAGCCCCCAGAAGAAGCCGAGCCAACGTGGGGGTCTAATACGTCGAGTCAGCTGGTGGGGCTCACCTCTGAGAGAGGTGACCTCCGGGAGTTCGAGGAGTATGGTGAGTTATTACGTCATAATAAATGTTAGTAAATATAATTGTGTTTTCTATGTATTATATGTGGGTTTACCCTAATTATATCGGTCTGTTGTGTGTCACTCGGGTTTAGTAGGGCTGTTTACCTAGGTCAGCCCGTCGGCCACTAGTGAGTAGGTTGAGCTGCCGACGGGCGCCCCCTGTGTCCCCGGGGGGAAGTTGGGTCCGCTCCTCCTGGTGGGCGCTCAGGAGGCAGCGTGGTGGGCTGATGGGCAGCTCGGCGGGAGGTCGAGTGTCGGGGAGCATACACACCGTTCGCGACATGGTGCATCGGACCGTCGAAACGGACCCGCTCGGTTCCAAATTCGAGACCAGGGACCGGGTAGGGGACGGCCAGCTACCACTGTCCGCACCCGACCCATCAGCCATGCCGGAGCCGGTGGTCCCACAGGGGGACTTGGCAGGGCATTCGACTACTGGAGGCGCCTTCCCCCATCTTTTGGCGTACTTTTGGACGGTGGGCGCAGTGATCCTAACCCGGGATGCGAACTGGCGGGGAAAGATTGGACCTTTAGTCCGGCAGGACTGTGGCAACCTGCCGTAGAGTCACGGCGGATCCTCTCCTGGGACCAGGATGCTCGGGGAAGCCCGGAGTTAGTCTCCAGGAGGCCTCTAGAGTAGCTCGCCGCGGTCGCACCGGTGCAGCTTCCGTGCGGGAAGTAGGTGGACCAGCTCTCGAGATGTCCAGTGGGGATGGAGAGTATGCGGGCGAGGGTCGTCGTCAGCCGCGGTGTTGAAGCCGGGCGCCTTCAAAAAGTCGTAGAGTGGAAGGTCAAGCGGCGCGTGGCGCGAGCAGCGCAGGGCTTACTTTATGGTGCACCATGGGTAAGCTGCCCCAGAAGAGAGGCTCGAAAGACCTCCTGTGGACTAACAAAAGGCCTACCTGGATCAGTGCCCTCAGCGCCCTTTAAAAGGTAAACCATCGGCTTGTACTCAGCCCTCCGGCCTTTCCAGGTAACTAGGGTCTCCCCACAATTAGTACGTAGGGGTTCAATTCCTTGTAGTTGTAGTTTAGTCCCTTTTTCCCACCCTTAGGTTAGATATCACGTATTATACTCACCACTGCCCACTCCTCCCAGTTCCAGCTTGTTTGCGTAGATTATTTCGTTTTTGAAGTTTTCTCTACCTTTATTCCGTTCCCCTCGAGAAGACGAGTAAAATCCTCGTCTCTCAAGCTTAATCCGTTCTATATTCCGTCGGATCCGATTTTCGATCCCTACTCCGTTGGTTCCGTGTTTTTCGGTCCCTATTCCGTCGATCCCTCGTTTCTATTCCATTTTCCAATCGACACGTCATGAAAGAGACATCCATCGGACTTTCCCACGACGAGCGAATCGATATTGGAGCAATTAAGCACTTTCCCAGGCTTAACGGCACCGATCGATCCGATTCGGCGTGGAAAGGTACCACTCTCTCATGCACGCTCATGGGAAAGCAGAGAAATAGTACGAGGCGAGACATTACCGTAATCCTCGCTCCATGGGAAACTGACTGATAGGCGAACATCGATTGGCAACTCTCATTCTAATCGACGTTTGTCTACGATTAGCCTTCTGATGGAAGATTTGAGGAAATACGAATTACTTCGTGCAATCCAGAATCTCCAACGAGCTGTGGATAACACCTCTCCTTCACTTCTGGAGGACGTCCAGCTCGCTGAAGATCCGGACGAGGCGGCTGTGCAGCTCAAGGACCGTGATAAGGCCCTTGCAGTTGCGCATCGCATCTTGACTCGTGAATTTAGTTTCGCGAATCAAGTTCGAGACGCAGCATTGCGTCATGCCCTTCAACGTGAGACTGAGGAGTCGCGCCGTGAACTCGTCAACGCTTACCTATCCCACTGGGCAACCAGTGGAGGGGAAGCGGCCGAGGACGCAGCAAGCGATCTTCTCGCTCGCCTTGAGGTAGCGATGCAATCCCTTCAGAACAAAACCCTACTACATCAGCGAACTTACCTCCTACAGGAGTTAGGTCTATTGCGTTTGTCCCAGAGCTTACGTCGCATCGTTCCGAAGAGGAACTCCTCCAGGAACAACACGATCGACGTCAAGATCGAACGGAGACAGAGGTACTTGTTAACCCAACCTCGAGTCAACCACGACTCGGAGAAGGGATAGCAACCCTCAGTAATACATTTCAAGATCGTGCCTTGCATGATCAAGCAGTTCGTTTGCCAACATTCGATCTCCCCGTCTTCGCCGGAGACATCGCCAAGTTCGCGGAGTTCTGGGATATCTTTGACTCTGCGGTTCACTCGAACCGTACCTTACCACCCACAGTCAAATTCCATTATCTCAGGACCTCGTTGAAGGACGAAGCATTGTCCATGGTAGCCGGGTACGAGATTACGGATGCTAACTACGAACTGGCAATTAATACGTTGCGAGAGACATACTTTCGCC